GGACTTCCACTCTCAACCTGCACTGGCTCAGGCTCTCCGCACTCGTGTGGAAACAGCCTGGAGAGGTGGGACACCGGTGTCCGCGCTGTGTTCCCCCTCCCCCTTACACACACACACACACACTGGCTGGTATCTCATGCCTTCCGTGGAGAAACGCGCGTTTGGGGGCGGGGGGGAGCTGCCCCCTCCTCAGAATCTGCTCGGTGGTTCTGACCAGCTGGGGAGAGCTCCCTTCTCTGAGGTCGGTGTGGTTCCCGCCAGTCTCCCACAGAGAATCGCACCTTCAAAGCAGCGGTTCTCAACCTGTGGGTCGCCAGCCTGGGGGTCGAACGACCCTTTCACAGGGGTCGCCTAAGACCATCCTGCATATCAGATATTTACATTACGATTCATAACAGTAGCAACGTTACAGTTATGAAGTAGCAACGAAAATAATTTTATGGTTGGGTCACAACATGAGGAGCTGTATTAAAGGGTCGCGGCATGAGGAAGGTTGAGAACCACTACCTTTAAAGGCTGCCAGCCACCTGGGGAGTGGGCAGGTAAGGGGCATCGACGACTCGGGGGCTAAACTGGTGAGCAGTCTGGGAGGAGGAAGCCAGGGTGAGGGCAGACCAAGTGGTGCTGATTATCTTGCAAGTCACAAACCCGAACTTGCGTGAGAGTTCTGTGATTTAAAAGGGGGAACCACCTTGAATAGATAAAATGTCTTACATCAATTTTACAACGAACTAGACTGTGAGAATGGTAAATGTCCTTTATCACTCAACATTGTTAGTTCAAAAAGCTAGAAAAGGCCAGTCCCTTCTGTGGTCAAAACCAAGGGCTCCCAGTGTTTTTCCAACAAACCTGGAAATTCTTTCCCTGGCCTGGTGGGGCTGGGCCGCTGGAATGGCTGTGTGCGGCTGCCACCTTGTGGCCGGTGCCAGGCGGTGCATGTGTGACCTGTTGCTGAATCCTGTGAAGTGTGTGTGTGTGTGTGTGTGTGTGTGTGTGTGTGTGTATAAAAAATATACTTTTACTTATTTTACAGAGGAAGGGAGAGGGAGAGAGAGTTGGAAACATCAGTGATGAAGGAATCATTGATCGCCTGCCTCCTCCACGCCCCCTACGGGGGATCGAGCCCACAACCCGGGCATGTGCCCTAGCTCGAACGAACCCGGGACCCTTCAGTCTGCAGGCTGACGCTCTATCCACTGAGCCAAACTGGCTAGGGCTGAACTCTATTTTTAAAGGCCTTTTACAAAGACTTTTCTCAGTCGCTCTCACCACACATGCAATTCCATCTCCGGGGCTTTGGTTCTGTCTAAGCCAGTGATGGCGAACCTATGACACGCATGTCAGAGGTGACACTCGAACTCATTTTTTTGGTTGATTTTTCTTTGTTAAATGGCATTTAAATATATAAAATAAATATCAAAAATATAAGTCTTTGTTTTACTATGGTTGCAAATATAAAAAGATTTCCATATGTGACATGGCACCAGCGTTAAGTTAGGGTTTTTAAAATGCTGACACGCCTAGCTCAAAAGGTTCGCCATCACTGGTCTAATCTGTACTCTGCCCTCTTTGGACTCCAGTGACTGCCTCCCAACAAGCTTCCCGGCGGCCTCTGGACTGACTTTCTAGCATGTGAATCAGATCTGATCGTCTTTTCCTTTCTTTTCCAGGTTCCAGCGCCACCCTGGGAAGACCCCGAGGCCAGTCCCCTGCCCGGACGGCGTCTCTGCAGACACACGTCTCTCTCTTCCTCGCCTGCCCCCTGCCAACACCTGCTGGCTCTCCCCCTCATCTCAGGTATCACCCCCAGGAAGCCCTCTGGGTTGAATGAGATCGTGTGATGTCATAACATAATGTGACAGGAAAGGGAGGAAATGTGAGGGGACGTGACACACTGCATCGTAACCGGCCTCTCCTTCCTCTCCCACAAGACTGGTGGCTTGAGAGAGGGGACTTTTGCCTCCGGGCGCGGCGTCTGGCACGGAACGGCCGCTCACTGACTGTGAGGAGGAGTAGAGGGAGGGAGAATAGAGCCAGGCAAAGGCCCGCGTCTCCAGGTTTCCTCCTAGGGATGTGCGGCCCTCGGACGTAGGAGCTGTCACTTGGCGAGCAGCGCTTCCTCACTCCCTTTGCACTGTTGTCTCTGCTCAGCCATCCCACTGGCAAGTGAACCTTTTTAAAAACGCACTTCAGTGGTACCACCTCCTCACTCCGAGCTCCGTCAGAGAGTCAGGTCCTCCAGCCTGCAGGCCGGGGCCTCCTAACTCCACCCAGCCCCCGGCTCACACCACCGCTCTAGATGCCCTGGGTACCTTTTGTGTTCTAGAACTCAGGGATTACCTTGCTGGTGAATGGAGTTATTTAAAGGCCGCGTGGCAGAAGCGCACTGAAAGTGTCAGCTAAGACGTGTGACACCTGTGGGTCCCCGTGAAGCCGTCCAAGAGGAAGGCATTGCCTTGTGCCTGCCGGGAGCTGACGGTCCGGCTGGTGCTCCACGGGAGGTCACGAGAGAGCAGGAATCAGCCCATCACCAGGCAGCGTGTGATCAGTGGCCACAAAAGGGCCCGAGAACGGGATGGGGGTTAAACAGGAGGATGCGTGTGAAAGTGCCTCGCCCTCCACGCCTCCTGGCCCAGGCGGGCCTGCCGTCGGCTCTCACACAGGACTCCGCTCCACTTCCTGCTCCCCAGGGACTCGCCCCTCGAGAGAAGGCCTGGCCACCCCCCGGCCTCACGTGCCCACCCCGTCGGGGAGCCCAGCTGCTGAGATAGTGAGGGGGACGCGCCCTGAGATTTAGTTAGCACCCAGGGTCCCCGAAACAGGCCCCGTCTCCCTCCCGGTCTCCCTGTTCCTCCTCTAAGCCTCTTCTCTTCCTTCACAATTGAGCCCAGGCTGGGTTGCCGCTCCCTCGTTAAAGGGTTTGTGCATGGGGAATGGGCAGAGGGAGTCCCCCGTGGAGCAGCGCGGAGCCAGTGACGGCTGGCACCTGGGCCCTTCTCCCCAGCAGAGCAGGGCAGTGAGGGGCTCTCGGTGGCTGGAGCCGCGGGCATGTTGCAGGGTGGAGGGAAGGCCCTGAGAGCTCAGAGCTCCCTGCTGGGAGGCCTCACGGGCACTCGTGTGTCTTGTGGGCAGTGCGCTACTTTCCTTACTTTTGAAAACCATGGTGACGTGATCAGGAGGTGTCGAAACGGGGAGCTGCCTTCCGGCCCCTGCCATCACTGTACGTCACAGCCTGGGGCTCCCGGGGCGACCCAGGCGCGCGGGACCCCGTGCCAGCGAGGCCCTTCCTACGCCTCCTGCCCCGCCTGTGAGCAAGGCCCTTTCCTCGGGCTGCCCTGGCCCTGGCCCTGGCCCTGGCCCTGAGCTGTGAGTCCTTCGGGTCCCTGCAGCTCTGTTCTGTTCTGTGCCTCTGCCCTCGCGGCTGGTGGTGACCCAGGAGGCGGCAGCACCCACACAGCAGGTGGCCGCCAGAGCTGAGTCACTGCCCTGGGAACCGTGCCCTGGCGAGGCCGGCTCGGGAGCCCTCGGTGCCTGCCCCGCGGCGAGAGCAAAGGGCTGGGGCTCTTCCTGCAAGGGGGGGGGGGGGCACCGGGCCGGTGAGGAAGGGAAGGGGAGCCACTTGAGGAGCCGAGAAGGAAGGTGCCCCGGCGGCAGGCTCTGGCGGGTGGCGGTGGCCGAGCACTGAGCGTCTGCTCCCGCCGTTATAGTGATGGCCGTGGCTGTTGTGTTTAAATGCTCCAAAACCACCCATTTAGGGATAGCTTTAAAAATGGGGTGCGGAGGCTCTCGGATGCTTCAAGGTGCTCTCTGGCCTGTGAATTAAGGGGGCGTAGGCAATAAAACGAGACAGAGAGATTGCTAAACTCCTGCTACTCTAGGAAAATGAGCAACTGAGGTTGAGGGTTTTAAAAAACTTAAAAGTTTCTTACTGTTCATAGGTGCTCTGATGGGTGCTGTGCTTAAAGATAATGCTGCTTGTATTTCATTTCCAGAGAGGACAGACATGTGGTGTTGCTTTTGAAAGGAGGTTTTTAAAAGGAAAAGGAGAGCCTGGTTTGTTGACTATACCAGGGAACAAGAGGTGACCTCAGTCTGGAAAACCAGCTGGCCCCCACCTCTCTGTGTCCCGCAAAACAAGCCCTTTGTCAAGCAGCAGAAGGCGGGCCAGTCATCGTTTCAGCTGACCAGGATTCTTCAAGGAAACAAAGCAAGAGGCGCTCTGCATTTTCACAGCTGAACAGAGCTCTTAGGAAACGCCGCCAGCTCACTCAGCGCCCACGAGGCCATGGGAGCGTCTGGTGACCATTAGTCAGGGGCCTGAATGCAGAGGCTGGGGGTGGGTGAGCCGTGCTGCCACCGCGGCCAGCTCGCAGGACCAGAGAGAATAGAATCACGGCTCCTGCTTTTTGAGCTCAGAATTTTTTAACTTAAAAAAAGTTTAGTCCTAGCTGGTTTGGCTCAGTGGATAGAGCATCAGCCCTCAGGCTGAAGGGTCCCGGCTTCGGGTCCAGTCAAGGGCACGTGCCTCGGTTGCCGGCTCAATGGGGCCTGTGCAGGAGGCAACCAATCCATGTGTGTCTCGCACATCCTGTCTCTTCCCCCTCCCTGCCACTCCCTCTAAAATCCCCTGTGAGGATTAACAACAACAAAAGGGGTTTTTTTTACACATTGTGTGCCCAGTTAATTCTGTGGAGCTGAGGAATCCCCAGAGGCAGCGGTAACCGCCTTGCTCTGGGTGTGTGCCCTGGGACCACTCGGGGCCGGGGAGGTTGCCTTAAGTCGGGGGAACTGTGAGTTGTCAGTTATGCTGCGACCTGCGACCAGAGGTGCGCTTTCTCCTTCCGCTTCCCGTTTGCTCTCACGAGCACTGTACGGATGAAAAGTCAGCCACACAGAAATACAGACGGTCAAAACGTGTCCTGGTGTTTCTGAGGCATAAGAACGGAGGCAGATTCTACCAGAAACCAGACCATTTCGGGGCCCTACGTCTATATGATTGCAGGTCGGTGAGGCCTGAATCGAGATGCATGTGGCAGTCCGAGGTCAGCTGATTCTAGAAGCCACGCCAGTCCAGAGACTCACGGGAATTTGGGAGGGCAGTTTGGGGAGAGAGGATCTTAAGAAGAGGGAAGCTTTCGTCTTTGTTTTCTGACGGGTGTGGGGTAGGAGAGCTGACCTGCTTTGGGATAGAATTTGCAAATCCGTCACTCCGGGTGACCCTCCCGAGAGATCAGCGGCCGGCTGGATGCGCCCGGCCCTTAGGGGAGTGCGTGGACAGTACCGCAGCCGGCTGGATACGCCCGGCCCTTAGGGGAGTGCGTGGACAGTACCGCAGCCGGCTGGATGCGCCCGGCCCTTAGGGGAGTGCGTGGACAGTACCGTGGTGCCGGCTGGATGCGCCGGCCCTTAGGGGAGGGCGGTGGACAGAACGTGGTGCCGGCTGGATGCGCCCGGCCCTTAGGGGAGTGCGTGGACAGAACCGTGGTGCCGGCACCGACACCGGGCAGCACGCAGGCGCGGGCGGGGTAAGGGCAGGCGGCGGTGAGAGCTCCCGGGCACGGTGGGTTTATCCCGCCCTCTGCAGTCGGAGCCAACATTCTCCCTGGTCTTGAATGACTGAGAATGTTTCCCTCTCGGCCGGTCGCCGTCCACTCACGGGCTGGCGACTCGAACCCCTCAGGTGAGGTCCGAGCAGAGAGCAGCCTGACGCCCACGTCGTGTGGGTTTTAGAGCAAAGGCGAAGCCGTGAAACACAGCCTGCTTGTTCCGGGGGTGCAGAGACGGACCTGGGGGCCCGGGGCTGCCAGACACCGGGGTGGCCGCCCGGCCCCTTGTCCAAACCTCGGGAGGGGGTGTTTCCGAGGGGCCCTCGGCCTCCAGGCTGCGAGGCCACCTGCCCTTTGAGGAATGTGACTGACGTGGGTCAGAGGGAGACCGTCACTTACCCAGAAGGAAACCAGCCAGTTAGGCACTTGCCGTCGTGGCTTCTTCCACACGCCTGGGGCGGGGTGGTGACCTAGCTCCGGGCACCAACAGGAGCAGTAGCATCTCTGTGTTCCCGGTCACAGGGTTTGGTGCCCTCCCTCCCTCTCTCTCTTTCCAGATGGGAGCCACACCGGTTCTTAAGAAACCAGCTGAACCCTTCCCGCAGGAGGGAGAGTTGAGCAATGTTCTGAGCACATGCTGTTCTGGGCCCCGAGGAAATGCCGTCGCTAGAAGATGCTCTAGACCTGAAGGGGCTGGGAAAGCCCAGGACGGGGAAGCGGGCGGAGCCTTCGGGACAGCAGGTGCCAGCCTCTTCCTGCCCGGCTGAGGCCTGGAGGGGGCTGCCCCCCCCCACACACAGTCCGGATGTTCTTCTCTGGACCCCACGCCACCTCCACCGTCCACAGGGGCCATACAGGGGCACGCCGGGCGCCACAGCCCCCAGCCGGCGCCTGCCCAGCCGCTTCCCGGCCTCTAGGGAGACGGTGTGGCCTTGCTGGCACCAGGAGATAACGTCGTTCACCTGAGGAGGGAAAGCCCATCCAGGAAAGAGGCTTTGCCCAGACCCTGCCCAGGTGCCCAGGTGCCCGGGCAGCGGCCTGCGCTTCGTTACGGCGGCGGCACAGCGGTCAGACAGCGTTTCCCCCAGAGCGTAAGTATCCAGGGAAGCAGCTCCGGGATCTCCCGGGAGGACTGCCCTCGTCCTGGGAGGAGCGGCGGCACGGCCCCAGGTCCCGCCCCCGTGGAGGCAGAGTCACCTGTGTTTGCCGGCGACACGGTTTTGGAGATAAGGAGCCACACGTCCTCCCGTCACCGGCTGCCTCCTCCAAGGCAGGCGTGGGTTCCAGGAAGAGCCGAGGAGGAG